CTTCTGGTTTTTTTGGAAATATGGTTCTCATATTCTTTTAGCCCAGCCAACCTGAGAAGTGAGTGTGATAACGCATGTGCTACCTGAGCTGAGGGCATGGTGAGAACTCAGAAGGGGAATGGCAAAATACTGTAATCATGCTTTCACTTAATTTCATTACTGTTATCTGGAGCTGTGTCCAGTGGTGGAAGCACATTTTAGTCGTTGTGCATTTACAGAAGGTGAAATTATAACTTAGATAGTGCTTCTTCTACTTACTCTAAAATATTTCTTAAATTCTATCTCCAGGCATTCATCAATTAAATTTTGAATTAGAGACTCACCTTACTTTGAATGAACCTTTGTTAATTTAGATCTTTTCATTGAGAATTTTTAGACTTTTATTCAATTAATTTAGTGCTGTTGCTTTGCAACCATTTATTTATGTGATCATTCTCTCTGTTGCACAAACACTTACTTTATTTTTTTCTCTAGTTCTAATTTTTAATCTTTTAGAAAACAAAAAATGAGGAAAAACTCTTAATACCTATGCTCAACTGGATCTTACATTATGATGAAAAGTAAAATGCAATGAAATAAATGCATGTCTGGTGGAGTGACCCCACAGATAATCACATGAAGCTAAAGGATGGCTTGTCCTGACAGGCACCGCATGTTATAGAGCTGTTCTCAGACACTGGTGCCAAAATTCAATATGTTTAACTTTGTCAAAGATTATTCTGCATGTATTGAGATGGCTATGTGGTCTTTTTCCTTGTTTCTGTTAATATGCTGTATTAAGTTTATTGATTTGGATATGTTGAACCACCTCTGCTTCACTAGAACGAAACCAAGATGATTATGATGTATGATCTTTTTGACGTGTTGTTGAACTTGGTGTGGCAGTATTTTTTGAGAATTTCTGAATCTATCTTCACTAACATAGATTGGTTTACAATTCTCTTTTTTGTTGTGTCCTTGTCCAGTTTTGGGATAAGTTTAATCCTTCATACAAGAAATAAAGTGGTGTTTCTTCCCTATTTTATAGAAAAGTTTGAAGAATGTTGATATTATTTCTGCATTAATTATTGTCTAGAATTCAGCAATATACCCATCAGGTCTTGGGTTTTTCAATTTTGGGATACCATTGCTGCTTCAATTTCATCATTTGGTACACTTCTGGTTAGGTAGTTTATATCCTCTTGGTACAATTTTGGTTTGTCATATACATCCAGAAATATATCTATGTTCTAGAATTCCCAATTTATTTGAATATAGGTTTTTAAAGTTTTCCCTAGTAATCCTCTGTATTTCACTTGTATTTGTTGTTACATCCCCTTTTTCTTCTTTACTTATATTATTTGGGGTTTTCCCTCCTTATTTTAGTCTGATTCCCTAAGGGCTTATTAATCTTTTTTGTCTTTTCAAATAATCAAATCGATTCTTTGTATATATTTTTTTGGCTCTATTTCATTGATTTTGGCCCTTACATTTATCATTTATCATTATCCTTCTGTTAAATTTGGGTTTAACTTATTTTTGTATTCCTAGCAGTTTGAGATACAGCATTAGATTATTTATTTGAGAACTCTCTCTTTTTTTAATATTATCACCTATACTTATAAACTTTCCCCTTAGCACTGCCTTTACTGTGTCCTATAGGTTCTGGTAACTTGTGTTTCATTTTCATTACATTCCTGGAACTTTTTGATTTCCTCCATTAGTTCTTCTATGACTTACTGGTAGTGTCACAATGTATTATTCAGTCACCAGGTGTTTAAGGATTTTCTGCTGTTTCTTTTGTTGTCGAGTTCTAGTTTTATTCCATTGTGTTCAGACAGTATGCATTAGGTTATTTCAATTTTGTTATATTAGGTAAGATTTGCTTTGTGTCCTAAAATACGCTATAGTTTGGAGAAAGTTCTATGTGCCACTGAGCAGAATTTTCAGTTTCTTTGTTGAATTTTTTTGGTCTGGATGACCTATATATTTTTCAGAGGGGAGTATTGAAATGCATCACTACATTGTATTGTGGCCTATCTGTGTTTCTAAGTGCATTAATGTTTCCTTAATTGGGCTGGGTGTGCCAATCTTTGGCACTTACAAGTTAATAATAGTTATTTCCTCTTGATGAAATAACTTTTCCTTTTTATTAGTATGTAACGACCTTTTCTGTTTCTTCAGACTGTTTTAGGTATCCAGTCTCCTTTATCACATATAACTATAGCTACTCCAATCTGTTTTAGAGGTTTATTTGCTTAGAAAATCTTTTCCCACACTTTCCTCCATGCCAATATTTGTTTCCACCAGTGAGGTGGGTTTTATATAAACAAATTATCATAAGGTTTTCCTCTTTAATCCAGCATACCAATCTGTCATTTGATGGATGGATTGAGACAATTAACATTCAGTGTTAATGTTAAGAGGAATGTGATGATTTTTGCCATTTTGTTGCTTTTGATTCTTTCATGCCTTACACTCGTTATCTGTTCAGCTGGTGAGATTTATTTATTACCATCCTTTCATCACTATGTTTATCTTTATTTTCTGTGTGTATGATTTCTTTGAGTACCTTTTGGAGTGCTGGTATAGTGGTCATAAATTGCTTTAATTTCTTTTTATCATGGAAGGTTTTTGTTTCTCTTTCACTTGTGAATGATAGCTTTGGTGGATACAGTAATCTACATATGAATTGTTTTCCTTTCAGTGTGAATTACCTTATCTCAAGCACTTCTTGATTTTAAGTTTCTTTTAATAAATATCCTATTATTATGATGAGCTTACCATTATTTGTGATTTGACATTTCTACCTTGCAGTTCTCAATATTTTTCCTTGTTCTTTGTACTAATGTTTAAAATATAACAGGTCATGGAGATTTTCTATGGATAGGTGTCTCTTTCTCAATATTTGGGGATTTCCTGCTATTTGTTAATTGAATGTTTCCTATGCCTTTGGCTTACACCTCTGCTCCTTCATTTAATGGGGACACAAAGTTCTGCATATTCCCTTTGTATTTCTTCAGTCTTTTCTCTATGCATTCATCTGATTTTTCTACTACTTGTTTTCAAGTTCTGAAATTCTGTCTTCCACTTGTTCCTGTCTGCCAGAGTGGCTTTCAAAATGTTTTTATTCACAGGATTTTAATCTAGTTTTTATTACAGGTTTTAAAAGTCTTTATTAAACTCCCCCTTTAGGTTTTATTGTATTCCTTATTTCATTTATCTGTTTTTATGTGTCTCCCTTGATTTCATTCTGATGTTTGTTTGTATCCTCTGAGCTCACTGGGTTTTTCTGTGACTTATCATGCTGTTTATCCATATTCTCTTGGATTTCACTGAATTGTTTTTGCATGTCCTCTTTAACCTTCTTAGTCATTCTTCTCATCATTCTTTTGAGCTCAGACACTGAGTTTCCATACTTTTAATTATTAATCAGGTCCTTTGTTGTGTGTCTTTTGACAGTTTGAGAAGCTATGACACCTGCCTTTTTCTGTTTCTAATGCTTCTGTTTTGAGTTATCTTCCTCTGTTACTGATTACTTGGTTGGTGGTTTTATTCACTTGAAGTGCTTCCCTTGAATTAATTTCAGTGCTATGTCAGAATTGGATATGTTGTTGTGTCATATTTTTCACTGACCTAGGGGTGTTACTTAGCAATAAGAAATTCATGAATTCAATACCAAACCTTTTAGTTACATGAAAAATAAAACCCTTATGATTTTACCTATAAATGAAGGTGTATTGTTTATGAGATTAAAATTTTGACAGTAAAAATAATTGCAGTGAAAAAGGAGATAATGAAGAAGGAGGATGGGGAAAGGCACAAAGGTACTATGTGTAGGGACTACAAGTTATTAAGATCCCAGTATGTGCAGAGGTGTAGTTCAGTTGTTGTGAAGGAGGATGATATTGTCAGGAGTTGCAGAAGGGCAGAATGGATTGGAGTAATATATGTAGGTGGCAAAATAAATGACTAGTTGAGTGGCTTGTAAGGAAAAGATTGAGAAATTCCAGGGGAGGAGAAGATGGAAGGAAAAAAGAAAAGGGAAGGGGAAAGGGGGAAGATCAGAAAAAGTAAGGAGGAAAACTTGAAATAAAAGGACATACAAACTGAAACTTTGATAAAAGGAAAAAAATTTAAAGTCTGAATTTCTTCCTTTGAGAAGAGTGTGTTTCCTCTATGCTAAATGAGTACTTCGGACACTTTCCCCCAATATATACTCCTCAGATTGCAGTCTGCAGTTATCATGCATTCCCTACAGGTGACACTTCTCCCAGACGGTGCAAGTCAACTTCCCTTTAGACAGAGGCTTTCTCTCTGTCACTGCCTCTCCTAAATGGCTTGGAACCATCTGTCCTATTATGTCCTATTATGTCAGGTGAGCAGTGGGGGATTGAGGGTGGTGGCTTATGGTCAAAGGCCAGCAGTCAGTGATTTTCCTTCTCCACAGCCCAGGACTCCCTCTGCTCCTGGAAGTCTCACAGCTCTGACTCATTTTTTCTCACTTTGGGATGTTTATGGAATGGAAGAGTCTCTGATCCAGAAGTAAAGGAAAAGGAACACCCACTAGTGTAGTGTGTTCCTAATTACATCTGTGTGCTTGGAGTGGATTTGCAATTTCAAATGCTTATTTGGAGGTGGGTCATTGCACATTTTCTTTGCCTATTATTTAGCAAAATAACCAGAACAATTACCCTCACTTCTCCAAACATAAAGTTAACTTTCAGGTTTGTGAGAAGTCAGTCATCTTGAGTATGTCAGAACTCTGTGAACTTGGATTCCCAAATGATCATTTACTTATCTACTTTTACTTAGCTTTATTCACTGATCTTATAGTTCCCTCATTCGATTTTATGAATATACCATACTTGCCCACATTCTTTATTTCCTTCACGGTACTTACAACATGACTACAGAACCATAAGAAAGTATTTCTGTCAGGTTATTATTATATATAATTGTGTCATAGTATTTTCTTCTCATTTTGTTAGTAACTTCAGCCACTGTGTCCAATGAACTACTCAAGAATTTCAGAATTTCTCCTTCTGGGAATTTCAGAAGACCCCCTGTTGCAGCCCATCCTCTTTGGACTGTTCTTGTCCATGTACTTGGTCACTGTGTTAGGGAATCTGCTCATCATCCTGGCCATGATATCAGATTCCCACCTGCGCACACCCATGTATTTCTTTCATTGCCACCTGTGCTTTGTGGACATCTGTTTAACATCCACAACTGTTCCAAAGTTGTTGCTGAATATGCAGACACAGAGTAAGATCATCACTTATGCAGGATGCATCACACAAATGAACTTTTTCCTGCTCTTTTCAGTTTTGGACATCTTTCTGTTGACTGTGATGGCCTATGACCGTTTTGTTGCCATTTGTCAACCCCTGCAATACACAGTCATCATGAACCCTCAGCACTGTGTGTTGCTGGTTCTGGTGTCTTGGATGGTGAATGTCCTACACTCCTTCTTACAAAGCTTAATGGTGTTGCGGCTGACCTTCTGTACAGACATGGAAATCCCACACTTTTTCTGTGAACTTAATCAAGTCGTCAACCATGCCTGTTCTGACACCTTTCTTAATGATGTGATGATTTATTTGGCTGCTGTGCTACTGGCTTGCTGCCCCCTTGCCTGCATCCTGTGCTCTTACTTCAAGATCTTTTCCTCCATCCGTGCAATCTCGTCAGCTCAGGGTAAGTACAAGGCATTTTCCACCTGTGCATCTCACCTCTCAGTGGTCTCCTTATTTTATAGTGCAAGCATAGGCGTGTACCTCAGCTCTCCTGTGACTCAAAACACACAATCAACAGCAGGAGCCTCAGTGGTGTACAGTGTGGTGACTCCCATGCTGAACCCCTTCATCTACAGTCTGAGGAACAGAGACATCAAGATTGCTCTGAAAAGATATTTTCAGGTAGAAATAATAAAAATGTCCCTTGTAACAACACTGAAAAAATAACTCATGGTTTCAGGACTCAAAGTTCAGGGTAGTCCTGGGGTTCTTTGATCAAATGTGGGAAGAAGAAATTATTCCATTTTATTCTTGGGGTTTCCTTATATCTGATTTCAGATTTTCTATACAGTGCAATTACAAAATCTGTTTTATTTTTACTTGTTCTATCACATCCAATACTCTACATTTTATCATTTTCAATTATCCCCACACTTTTTCAATCATTGAATCAGAAGTGTTTGTAATTCCTACTTATCCATAAAAATTTGGGGGGGGTATTTTCATCTTAAAGACATAGATGTCACTAGATATTTTTTCTTTTATTAAAATATTCACAAATTTTATTACTATGCTGAACTTTTCATTTGGCAACTTGGCCTTGAATATAATTTTTTAGTGGAAAAAGTCTGAAATCACAACTTTTCACCTGTGGGTTTATCATTCCTGCCACATCACTGCCTTAACTTCCCTTCCTGATAAGGTTGGTGTCAGCATCTGAGAGTGTGTATGGCAGGTGATTAGGTTATATTCTCATATTAAGGACCCTGTTTCCATTTTGACTTAGTTTCCATGAATACAATTATTCCAGTGTGTCTCTATTCAACTTTCTTTCCCAAGCAGATATTTTAACACTTGAGATAGCAGTTCCCACATTTTTATTAGCACAGATTAATTATAAAATTTGGGAAGTTTCACTGAGATATTTCTAGACATGCATCTCATATACTTTGATCATGATTATTCCCTGTTCTACATTTTCTTGATTACTTCCCACTCTTTTTTTCCTTGCAACATTTAAACATCCTTACAATGTTTCCTTGTGACTTTTCTTGCATATACATGATGTACTTCAAATTGACTTCCACCCAACTCTCATTTCTCTCATTCCATAGCAGTGCCCTGTTCATGCTTATGTCATTTTTCTTAGACCTGTCTTCCATGTATGAGATAGAATATGTGGTTTGTCCTTATGAATCTGGCTTATTTTACTTAAAGTAATGATCGCCAGTTTCACCCATTTCCTGCAAAGGATCTAAAGTCATTTTTGATTATGTACTTTTAAAAATTAACAATTTCTTTATCCATTTATTGGTTGGTGGTCACAGCACTGATTTCATAACTTGGCTAATGTAAATAGAGCTGTCATAAACATGGCTTTGTAAAATATCTCTAATGTATGAAGACTTTCTCTTTGTTTTATGCTAAGGATTGCATAGCAGAATCATGTGGTACATTCAGATAATATCCATATTGCATGTGTGAATATATCAGTGGTTCTTAAGGATTAGCAGTATGGAGGGCACAGATGGCTGTGGCTGTAAAAGAGCAGCTTTAGTAATCCATGAATGTGTGGAGCTGTTCTCTATATGTTTTTGATAAACATGTATTTGTTCTACATATTAATAGTTGCAGTACAATATTCTACATGTGCACATAGCATGCACTGAAGAAATCCAGCTCTCTTTAGTTACCCTCTACCCACCCCTTCCCAACTTCTACTAAGCACTGTTGTACATTCAGGTGGATTTTAAAACATGGACATATGAAAAAGAAGATGTGGCCCTTGACTTTCTGTATCTAGTGATTTCAAATGGCAATATGCCCTCCAGTTCTGTCTATATTGACACACATGACAGGCTTCCATTCTTCTTCATATTTCAGCAATATTTCATTGTGTACATGCAAAGTGTTGCTTCATACATTAATCCTGTGATAGGCATTCAGGTGCATTACACACCTCAGCTGTTCTGAGAATTGCCACAATGATCATAGCTGGGCAGCTATGTTATTGATCCTCTGAATTCATTTCCTTGTTACCCATGTTACATCCTGTGTGTGAGCTTTCTGTGTATTTTTTCCGTAATGTTTTCATTGTGGAAGATGAATAAAGGGCACATAGACTATTTGGTGTCATTCTTAATTAACATTTTTGGTGTTACTGGAGTTTTGGCTCGGGGCTTCACACTTGCTAGGCAAGTGCTATACTGCTTGAGCAACACCAGAGCCTTTATGTATCATTTCTTCCTCATATATACTAATATACATTAATCACAAAATAAAAATGTACCAGTAAAAGTTCAAATATGATAATTTAAAGACATCACACCATGTTGTTTGGAACAGCTTCAAAGTTTGAGATTTTTCCTTTCTTCAACATCCAGTTCCTTTTCCCATTTCCAACATAATTTATGTTTTCATAAAATATATTTTGCTTAAAATTACCCTAACATATCTTATTTTAACAAAAACATGTAAATAAAAAGTATCAATTCGTGCTGATATTCTAGAAATTCTTTTAAAAAATGAAAAAGCACAGTGATTTCAAGGGTTGTGGTCACTTCCATTGATTCTGAAACAAATTAACAATTTTCCCTGTACTGTGAAATATAGAATAAGAAACCTTATCAGATACCAGCTGCTGTGATCCCAAAGACACGTCAGTACTCTGGAGCTCAATGAATTAACACACTCTGGCACCTCAGAATCTGGAGAAAATGAGAACTAAAAACTGGGCAAAAGTGTTAAGAAAATTTGATTTCTGTGAAGCAGACATTTCAGAAAGAAAATGTAATAAAGACTGTGTTCACTTATTTCCTATCCTAATCCCTGGGAATATAGAATGAGCAGGAAATAATTTCCTTCTCAGACCAATGTTCTTTGGGGAAGTCAGGAACTGTCTCAGGACTTAGAGTCATGAGAGAAAATGTAATTAATGAGCACAGGGAACTAGAAATGCATCCCTGCTCTGGTGTTGTCTCGCAGTGAGCAGGCTTGTCCAGAACAGGAGTCAGTTCATTTTTGAAGTCCTAAGAGTCCTGAATCTGACTGGGGAATCAATGCTTCACTCCCTCCTGCTGTCTAATCTTGGGTAGAGGTTTAGTCTACATTATTCATCATCCAGGAAGAAATCTAGACTTCCACACAAGTATCCCCTTCTCAAAGACTCCAATCCAGGTGAGTCTGAGACCCAGGTAGGTTATCTCAGAGATATTCAGCAAATAGAGATGATGAATTTAGTAAATGTCACCAGAGAATGAAGACAGCCATGCCCAGTGTCATGACATCACTACGTTTGTTGGCTTACTTAACTTGCATAATATTAAATAAGTTAAAAAAAGAAATAGATTTTAGATTCTGCAATTCATAGATTAGTGTTGACAATTGTGTGATGAGAATGGAAGCCCAGTTGGAGAACTGAATAAAGAATTGGTGTAAAGTATTTCTTGTAAAAATTAGAACTTGTCCAAATTTGTTTCAATTAGCAAGTAGGAAATTGGTATCAGGTGTGGTGGGATTTGTAATGAACTGAGGAAATGTTTTCTTTAATTTTTAACATATAGGTTGTTTTAATCTGTTCACATAATGACTGAAAGACCTGGTGGATACTCTATTACAAAACAGTGTGTGAAACATACACCCCACAGTGTCTTCTTTCATGGTGGACATTCACATAAAAAAATAAGATCTTTGCTTCTTTAATGTCTGAGTGTTAACTTTTTTCAACACCCGAATTGGAAGTTTATGTTATTTCCTATTTTTCTTATATATATATATATATATATATATATATATATATATATATATGGTTATATTTCAGTAAGGATTGTGAGAAATTTTATGAATTTGGGGGGCAGTGCTGAGGTCAAACTTAGGGCTTTTCTCTTGCTTTGCAGGTGCTCTACTGCTTAAGTCACATCTCCATTCCTTTTTGCTGTGATTATTTTGGAGATAGGGTCTTAAATTACCCTAGGCCAACCCGGACTGCAATCATTCCAGTTTCAGCCTCCCAATTAGCTAGAATTATGGCATGAACCATGTGCCTGGCTAATTTTATGAATTTTATGGTTAAGGCAAAAATCCCACTGAGCAACAAGCAAACACCTAAACAATGACAGGCAGGAGCTTAAAACAGATATTGCTAAGAGAAGGGCACTAGTGGGAAGTGTAGAGTAAGTGAGGAAAGTAAAGAGGGTGAATATGGTTGATTCACTTTTGATATAAGTATGAATATGGGGTATTGCATCCTGTTGAACTCACATAGAAGGGGACTAGGTAGACAGGAGAATAATGCAGGGAATGAACCAATTCAGTTTATAATATATGTATATATGGTAATGTCACAATGAATCCCCCTGAATAACTAATATTAAGTAACTAAAATGTATTTTAAAGAAATTAGGACAGGAAGGTAAAACAGGTCCTGCCCAGGGATGGGGACCCATGGGAAGTGGAAGGGCAGAATTATGGAAAGGGGAAAGGAAGACAAATACGCTGGGTGTATTTTGTATTGATACATGAAAAGAGAACAATGCAAACTATTGAATTTGTTCTGAGAAGGGGGAAAGATGTAGGAGGGAACCTAGTTAAGATACATGGAAAAAGCTTATGTAAATGTCACAGTGTATCCCCTGTACAACTATATTAATAATAAAAAAATTCAAAATGTATCCATAAATCATACTGCATATTCATCCTGCTGCTGTAATTAAAATCTGGAGTTTTTCTGCATCACTAGTATTAAAATTTTTCCTTCTATACCTTTAGTTATCTTATTTCACTTCTGTTTTCCTGATTAGTAGAGTTTTACTTTTGTGATTGGTTCCAATTTTGCAAAAGCAGTCATCTTCTGACAGCTTATACAACATATTTTTAAATTCGTCTCAAGATCACCTACATCTTTTGTAAGCATCTTTCCACATATGAGAACTTTATCACCTGGTTGGAGATTCTATTTCTGGACAATGGTATAAATAACTGACATGACAGGGTCAGTGTGAGAAATGAGTATGGTAATGCATGTGCTGCCTTAGCTTGGGGCGTGGTGAGAAATCAGGAAGGGAGCTGGGAAATTCTGTAATTATGGTTTCAACTAATTTCATTATTTTTCCCTGGATCTGTGTACAGGGTTACAAGCACATTGGAGTCATTTTAAGTTTATACAGGGTGAAATTACAACTTTAGATAGTGCTTCTTCCACTGTTTCAAAAAGAGTATATTTTTTCAAATTCTATTTCCATGCTTTTGTCAGTTAAATTTTAATTAGAGATTCATCTTTCATTATTCACTTACATTCTTGTTTTAGATATTTTTCATTGAGATATTCTTTGAGGTTTTCATTCAAATCACTGAATGCAGTTGCTTTGCAGCCATTTACTTATCTAATAGTTTTCTGTTGCACAGTCTTATTTTCTTGATTAGTATAGCTCTAATTTTTTAATCTTTTGAAAACACATACTGAGCAAAGTCCTTAAGTTCCCTGCTCAATTGAATCTCACATTATCAATGTAGAAGACAACAAACAAATGCATGCTTATGACAGCAGCCCCATAGCAATCACATGAACTCAGAGCATCCTGAGAGGCACAGCATCTTACAGATCCATCCTCAGAGCACAGAAGCCTGAGATCACAGGTCTAAACTGGTAATAAAGCTTTGAACTTATTGAGTACATCTTGCTAGTATTTTCTTCAAGATGGTTGTTTCTGTGTTCTTCAAAGACTTTATCCTATAATTTTCTCTGCTTGAAGAGTCGTTGTCTAACCAAATTGTGAATCTTGTAATCCAGACAGCAAAAGGCTAACCCACAAAACTGAAGAAGGAAAGATCCACTTTGACATACAGGATGCATGTAAAATCACCTGTATGTGAATAGTGAGACTCATAAATAAGTGGAATGGAAAGAATGTTGGTGTTGTGGTGTAGAAGAAGACAAAAAGTAGGGCTATTTCTTAATAAATTTAAAGTTAAATAAAGTGATTAATTTTTAGAAACCTGGTCGTACAATGTAGTTCAGGGAGCTAACAATATGATATTGTGTATTTCAACATATGTTACAATGGATGGTGTCACAGCACACGTCTGTAATCCCAGAGGCTGTGGCAGGATAGACCATGAGTTCAAGTCCAGATTGGGTTACATAGCAAGACACTGTCTTAAAAATGAAAAAGTAGAAGTAGAATGACTTCTTTCTCTTATTTTTAAACATTTTCATTAGTGTATGGTAGTTACACAGAAGGTTTAAATTGTGGCATTTCTCTATATGCCTGACATGTTCCATAGTTTGGTTCAGCCCCTCCATCATTCTCCCTCTTGCTCCACTACCTTTTATAAAATGACTGACAGAGTGAGGAGGTGGTTCTCCTCTGTGTTGTGTGTGAGTGAGTGAGTGAGTGAGCGAGTGAGTGAGTGAGTGAGCGAGTGAGTGAGTGAGTGTGTGTGCAGGCACTTGCTGTTGGTGACTTCCCCCTCCCCTTCGCCCCTCCCCCTCCCCGCCGCCGCTGCAGTGGCCGCTCCCTGGGCCATAGATGAGCGATAACAATGACATCGAGGTGGAGAGCGACGCTCACAAACCGGCTCATCATAATACACTGGAACGAAAATGTAGGGACCACATCAAAGACAGCTTTCACAGTTTGCGGGACTCGATCCCGTCACTTCAAGGAGAGAAGGCATCCCGGGCCCAAATCCTAGACAAAGCCACAGAGTATGTCCAGTATATGCGAAGGAAAAACAACACGCACCAGCAAGATACTGATGACCTCAAGCGGCAGAACGCTCTTCTGGAGCAGCAAGTCCGTGCACTGGAGAAGGCAAGGTCGAGTGCCCAACTGCAGACCAACTACCCCTCCTCAGACAACAGCCTCTACACCAACGCCAAGGCCAGCACCATCTCTGCCTTCGATGGGGCTCAGACTCCAGCTCAGAGTCAGAGCCTGAAGAGCCCCAAAGCAGGGAGAAACTCCGGATGGAGGCCAGCTAAGCCGTGTGGGGCAGCCAGCAATAAAAACTGCCTTGTCTCCTCCGTCTCTCATCCTCCTCTCAGTTCATCGTTAGAAGCCCCAGAACCATTTAAGAGACTCATTTTTTCTTTCTTTTTTTTTAATTTTTATTTTTACATAGAAGCTCTTGGACAATAGTTCTCGTTCTCTTTCCCCATACCACTTTTTTTAAAAAAATGTATTCCCTTCAGGGATTCCCTGTCCCTTCCAGGAATTTTTAAACCAAAATACCCCAACTTGGCAGCTTTTTCTGTGGAGGACAGACGGACAGATGGCCGGACCTGAGCACATGGTGTCCTGCCCACCCCACCAGCTCCTCCAGCCACACTGGGCCCATGCCTGGAGGATGCCTGCCCTGCCAGACCTCTCTTGGTCCCCTCACTTCTAATTGATAGACTTTGTGAATCTGTGAACTGCTCTACTTTGAGAAAATGACCAGGTTGGGATGATCAGAATCACCCCCTCTCCTTTGTGAGGATTTTTTTCTGGAAAGGTATTTATCACTTCTGTTTGAAGACAAGATCCTTGAAGAAGTTTGTGGTGTAGAAGGAAAGTGGGGACAGATTTGCAGAGTCCTTGGCATGATTCACTCACTTCTCCCAACCACCTGATTAAATCTTCATCACCTGCCTTGTGGAGGACCACATGACACTTGTGGTATGTATAGGAGACAGCAGCAGTGAAGCAGCAGCTACCAGGGAGTGGTAGGGGTGGATATTTGGGGGGTGGGACAGGGAGGGAGCCTTGGGCTGGGTAGAGGTTTTGTATTGAGGGCCAGTGATGATGTTTTGATATTTATTTCCTGCTACTGAAATTTGAATCTGAGTGAATTGTGCCTATTTCTGATGATATCGATACTGCAAAGCGACAGATTCATAAAGTAATGATCAAATCTTCCTTTCTTTTCATGTGTATTTCTAAGAAATAGATCCATCTGATTTTGTATGTAAATACCAAGAGCAATTTACCTGGTACTAAACCTGCACCCCCATGTGGCCCTTTCCTTATTCTCCCCACGTCCTCCCCTGTCCTGGAACCTGTCTCCATTGTGTGATCCAGCCCTGGTTCTGGCTGTGGTCAACAGATCCCAGTGAAGGGCTTTGTGTCATTAGGCCGCATTTCTTTGTCTTTTTCCTACTCTGTTCCCTGCATTTGCTGATTTCTAGTGTATTCTGTGTAGTCTCAGTCCGTGTTTGATTCCATTGCATGGAAATAAAAAGTATGTTGTACATACTGCCGAAGAATTGTCTTGCAAGTTAAGGCTTCCCCCTTTACTATAAGACTATAAATAAAAACTTATTTTGTCAAAAAAAAAAGACTAACGGGTTTCAATGTTCCATATTCACATATGTGTAGAGAATACATGAACCACATTCACCATTCTTAACCTCTTCATTTACCACCCCCCTCCCACTAGTTCCCTTCACCTAACATGACCTGTTTTACATTCTAGTCCTTCACTAAGTGTTTGTTCATTGTTCATTAGAGTTTTGCCTTGGCATTTTACCTACAAATATATTGTACTTTACTTTTCCATATCCTTTTCCACTTCTTCTGTATAATGCAACAGCTTTCAGTGCGTTTCATCATATCCTGTTCCTGCAAACTTGTTATGTATTTCAACATTATTCACTTTCCATCATTCTGTTCTTTTCTTCCTCCCTTGGTATCCACACCTAATTCTGTGCATCCTTGAGCATGGGAGATCTTTCATTTTCTAATATCTTCTTAAGTTTCTTTCTTTAGAGATCTACTATTTTTATTGTAGAGGTCTTTCAGTTCCTTTGTTCAGCTTATTTCTAAGTTCTTTTTTTTTGTGGTTATTATAAATAAAATTGTTTCCTAAATTTTTCTGTCTCTTCATTTTGGTATATAGCAAGCTACTGATTTTTATGTACTGATTTTTATATTCTGTACCGGTCCTGAAGGTGTCTATGATGTCTAGGAGTTTTTTGGGTGAAGGTTTTTGGGTCTTTTTAGTATAATAGGGATAGTTTGATTTCTTTCTTTACTATTCTTATTCATTTTATTGATTCCTCCTATGTAATTTTTTTGGCTAGGAATTCCAACATTATGTTAAATAAGTGCATAGAGTGGACACCCTTGTCTTGTACCTGACCTTAGAAGAAATTGTTTCTATTTTCCCCATTTAGTATGATGTTGACTATAAGCTTATCATATATAGTTTTTATTATGTTGAGGTACATTCCTTCTATTCCTAGTTTCATCATAGACTTCATCATATAAGAATATTGAATCTCGTCAAAGGATTTTTTTGGTCTTTTGAGATGATCATGTGATTTATGTTCTTTCTTCCGTTTATATACTGTGATAAATTCATTGCTTTTTTATGTTGAGCCACTCTGCATCCCTGGAATGAAACCAATGTTCACATGATTTTTCTGAAATATTGCTGAATTTGGTTGGCCTTGGATTTAACTGAGAAATTTTGCACCTAAGTTCATTAAGGAGATTGGCTTACAGTTCTCTTTGTTTGTGGTGTCCTTGTCCAGTTTTTGGATGAGTGTAACATTAGCTTCATAGAATGAGTGTGGCAATGTTTTTTCCCTTTTTGTTTCATGGAAAAGGTTCAGGAGGTTTGGTATTAGTTCTTCTCCAAAATTCTGGGTGAATTGAGCAGTCAATCCATTTGGTCTTGGGCTTTTATTTATGGGAGACTCTTATTGCTGCTTTAATTTCATTGTTTGCTGTAAATCTATTTACGTGGTTTATGTCCTCTTGGTCCAATTTACGATGGTCATGTGTATCTAGATTTATTTAGATTTTCCAATTTACTCAAGTATAGATTTTTGAAGTATTTTCATTGATATTTGTTGCAATAGCCCACTTTTCATCTCTAATTTTATTAACTTGGGTGTTCTCTCCTGCTTGTAGTCAGATTTACTAAGGGTTTATTAATTTTAGTTACCTTTTGAAGAACCAACTTTTTGTTTCATTGATTTTGTCCCTGTTTCATTAATTTGGGCCTTTATTATTGTTCTCTCTCTCCTTGTATTAATTATGGGGTTAGCTTATTCTTGTTTTCTAGGATGTTGAGATGCAGCAATTACATCATTTATTTGAGGTCTCTCTGTTTAGCCAATGTACATACTCATAACCATAAACTTTCCTCTTAGCACTGTGTTTGCTGTGTTCCATATCTTCTAGTAGGTTGTATTTCATTTTCACTAGATTTAAAGAACTTTCTTCTGTCCACCTTTATTTTTCCTCTCACTCACTGGTGATGCAGCAATGTGTTGGTCAGTAAACATGTGTTTGAATATTTTTTCCTGTTTCTTTTGTCATTGAGTTCTAGTTTTATTCTGCTGTGATCAGATGTATACAATTAATTGTTTCAGTTTTTTAATATTTGTTACAACTTGCATTGTGTCATGATATAAAATCTATTTTGGTGAAAGTTTCGTGGCTGCTGAGAAGAATGTGTCTGTGCAGTTGCCAGATGAAGTACTCTGTAGATGTCTGTGTGGTCCATTTGGTCTATGCTATAATTTATTTCTGAATTTTCTTTGTTTACTTTTTGTCTGGATGATTTATCTATTGTTGAAAATGAAGTATTGAAATCTGCTGCTATCATTGTGTTAGGGTCATTCCCTACTTTTAAGTACAGTAGAGTTTATTTAATGAAGTTGGGTCTACCAATATGGAGTGCATTTAACTTAACAGTTATTATTTCCTTTTGATATATTTCTTCTTTTTTCAGTATGGAGTGGCCTTGTCTTTTCTGAATATTTTAGGTATGAAATCTACTTTATATCAGTATAGCTACACCTCCTGGTTTTTGAGGTACATGTGCTTGGAAAATATTTTTCTACCATAAGAAAATGTTTGTTTTCATCAGTGAAATGGGTTTCTTGTGAACAACAAATCATCAGGTCTTCCACTTTCAACCAGCTCACCAATCTTTCTCTTTAATGGAGAAGTTGAGTACAGTAACATTAAGTCTTAATATTGAGTAATATGTAATAACTCCCACCACATTTGCTCTTGTCTGTGCCACTGGTTCTTTCTTACTCTCCTTTCCACTATGTGTTCATCTCCTAATATTTATTTATTACCATCCTTTCATGACAGTATGTATCTTCATCTTCTGTTTGTGAGATTCCTTCCAGTACCTTCAGCAATGCGGGTTCAGGGATGATAAATTGCTTTATTGTCTGTTTATCACTGAAGGATGTAAGTCCTCCTTTACTTATGAATGATAAATTTGCTGGGTAGAGTAACTAGTTTGAAATAATTTTCTTTCAGTGCTTGAAATACCACATTCCATCCATTTTTGCTCTTAAGGTTTCTGTTTAAAAAGCTGTATTCTGTTGGGCTTTCCTTTGTAGGTAATTTGATTGATGTTTTTTTTGAGGCCTTCAATAGTACCTTTCTTGATCTCTATGCTTTAATGTTTTAATTATAAGGTTGGTGGGGAGAGCTTGGTATTGTTTGTTCATGTCTGTTTTGGTGTCTAGAGGTTCTCGTGTAATCTTAGTGGCCATCTCTTTCTCAAGATTTTAGGTGTTTTCTGCTAATTTTTTGTTGAATACGTCGTTTAAATATTTCCTTTTGACTTGCCCGTTCTCCTTCTTCAATGCACATGCATTTATGGTTTTGATCTATCAACGGAGTCAAACAGAGTTCTTTCCATATTTTCTTTCACATTTTTTCATTCTTTTTCTTGATATATTCATGTTTTTTCTATTCATCTACTTTGCCTTCATTACATTTGATTTTTATTACAGATTTTCTATATCTTTATTAAACCTCCTTTCATATCTTGTATTGTCTTCATTTCATTTTTTGTTTATTCCTTGATTTCATTCAGATGTTTTTATACCATTTGAGGTCATTTATTTAATGTATGCCTTCATAAGATGTTTATGCATATTCTTATGAATTTCATTGACTTGTTTTTTGCATGTCATCTTTAACCTCTTATACATTCTTGTCATCATTATTTTGAACTTGGGAACTG